ACAACAATGCAACAAGCACTTGGCGAAGAAAATTCCAAAAATACATACCATTTTTTCACTACATAGGTTTAGCAAAATTTTTGTAAAAAAAAATGAATATATGCACATATTACATATGATATAAGTGGAACCTTGATAACACAAACCTATATACCTATGTTGAATTTTCGATAACTCAAAGTAATGTCTTGATCCCTGCCTTAGAATGTATGATATCGAGATTTTCCATAAGTCGAGTTTTCGATAACTCGAATTTTTTTTCACCCACCAATCGATTCAAGTAATCGAGGTTCCACTGTACTCCATTAACTCTCTATACTATTACACATAATTTAATCTCATAGTTTTAAGACCATTATTTTGTAATTATTACAGGCTAATGACCTCAGAGGTTGAAACCTTATTAAACCAATAAAAAAGGCTGCAGCTTCCAGGTATGAGATAAAACTACTATATATTAATATTAATAGTTTGAAAGTTGGACTTGGTTAAAAAGAAACCAACCTATTTTATAATAGATATAGAAGGGAGTATAGTAACTAGAGAAGAATTGATATCCGATAATATATCGTGTACAGAGTATATAAAAAAAAATAAGAAAAACGTTATAATTATTTTTTCCATGTTTTGTAGAATTATTATTAATATACGAACGATTTTTTCTAAAATATATTCTCGTGATTATTATTATAAAAGTTTTGTGGTTATTAATATCTTCGTGACGACAAAAAAGGGAACTCATCAGAAACCACAGTGTATAGACAAGCCGCAGTGCCACTACTCTGTTCCAGACACTTAAATAATAAAATATTTAAACATGAACTGCATAGTGAGGTACCCACGCTAATGATCTTGTAAAAATAATAATAATTGACGTGTCAACAATAMTAAGAATAAAATAAAGATGATAAATTACTTATTGATTGATATATAGGTACCTGTAGTAATCATTTCAGTTAGCTGCAAAGTTTTGGTCAACCTTGTATGTGGTTCGTGTGTGTAGGTTTTTATTTATTAATAATTAAATAATACTGTAAATAAAGAATGAATATGCAACACTATAGGTATATATTCTAAAATGACGGTTATATGATTGTTGCCTTGCGTTTCTATGCMCATAGGTACGACTCTGTAAATGTATTCAAATGTGTGAAACTAAGTTTTAGTGTTTATGATCAGAACAAACATCGTTTTTTTAATAAGTTGTATTTTTATCGCGTGTTGTTAATAATATAATGCTATTATTATATGAAAGTTGTGTCGTTTTATTGATGTACCAGCTGCAGGCAAAAACTGTATGCAAATAAGACTCAGCGTGATTTAAATTATCAATCCTGCAAAGATATGCTACAATAGTGATTTCTTTTATAGTAGCTTATTTTTTTTTTTATCACTTATTTGTAAATACATTTATAGGAATATAAATTAAAAACAATAAACAATATCATAAAATAGAAGATCGTGATTATGTCTCATAAAGGGTTATGTTTTTTTTTTAAAGTATATCATATAGGTAACTAATACCTTTATATATTAATACATTAAAATTATATTCATCGTTACAGYCATACAGTTACACAGAGTACAGGCATACAGATGGACGATGAGCCAATTTTCTGTTCATGACATTTATTATTTCTTAACAAATATGATTTTCTGTAATCATGCCATTATTATCTATTAAAGTGAATTACTTTTGAACGAAACATAATGCATAATTATTATTCATTATATTATCTATGTTCTATTTAAAAATAAAAATAAGAACATCATTTTTCCAAGAATCGAATACCAATT